AGGAGGGTAGTAGAACGCGATCGCTAGCACAAAATGGTGGGGCATCTTGAGGGCCACCGAGAGCCCCCTTTCCAAGAAGGTCCCCTGGAGGTTCCTGAACAACGTCTAGTAGTAGGGCTCCCCGCACATATCCTCTCCAAGCTAATAATACTCCTGCCGACTTGATCGAATATTGTGTGTCTACCCATCCTGCATCTATGTACTGCGCGTCCTCTGCGTGCCCCTTCGTAGCCTCCGTACCCTGCCTTATCATCTGGGGCCCAGTTATGGCTATAATGTCGAAGTTGTCGCACTCACGCACCATCCCCGACAGACTGTCCTGGCGGCAGGACAGCGGGTTGAATTGCAGGAGAACTAAACTGGCGGTATATTTCACCACTGAGTATCACCCTCATCGCTGGAACATGATTCCTCGATCCTGTGGAATTGGTTATCTTTGTAGGGAGCTGCGTGAATTGCTCAACGTGCGAAATGGCAGATTAAGCCCAGGAGAAGGAGGCGGACGAGGAGAAGGAGGAGGAGGAGGAGGAGGAAGACAAAAGGAAGAGGGAGACGAGGAGACGGGGGGACGAATAAATAACTGCGCCGGCACGATGGGGCAGCACCTCGAGCCCACACAAGACCAACCGCGGATTTCCGAGGAAGACGGGGCGAAACGCCCGACGAGAGCATTTGGCGGGACGCTGGCGCTGGCCGCGCAAAAACGGCAGGCCCGCGGGCAGATGGCGCGCGCAATCCGGAGAACAACGCTCCTTCAGCGCACCGCGACCCAGGGTGATGATGATGATAATGATGATGATGATGAGCATGATGATGATGATGATGATGATGATGATGATGATGATGATGATGATGACGATGATTATGATGATGATGCTGGTGCTGGTGATGATGATGAGGGGGGTGAAGATGATGGTGATGATGATGGTGTTGCTAATGACGATGATGCGGATGGTGTTGCTGATGATGCTGATGATGATGATGATGATCACAAACGCCCTTTCGCCCAATTCATCCTCGGGTGTGATCGGCTCGCACGGTTCGCGTTTGTTTGGCGATTGCTCGGCACGGAACGACGCTGCAAATGCTGATGACAGCGATGAGATGCTGGTGATGATGGCGGTGATGATGGTCGGGAGGCGGAGGCGGAGGATGATCAAGAAGGATGATGACGATGATGCTGATGATGGTGATTAAAATGAGTATGCTGATGGTCATGGTGCTGATGGTGAAATTTACGATGATGATGACATGATGGTGATGACGACGATGATGCCCTGACGATGGTAGTTCCGAGGCCGCGGTCGGATTATATCACGAGCCGAAAAACGCACCGACAAATCTGAGGGCCTGGACAGAGTTAGTCGGCACGCTGACACGAGCTGGACTCTGCTCGCAGGCCCGCTGCTTCGGGGAAGCACTGCAATGAAAGGCGCGGATGGGAGGGAGGGGGCTCGAGAACCGAAGGTTGTGGAATCAATGCAAACATTCGCCCCCCCCCCCCCCCCCCTCGTCGCGCATTTACACTTCAACAGAAACAACCATGCCCTGGGCGATTGCATTTCCGAGGCCAGTGTCGGATTAATCTGTGAAACCTCAGGTTGCACCGAAACATCTGAGGGTCTGGGCCGAGAGAGCGCACGCCGACACGAACTGGACTCTGCTGACTGGCCTGCGGCCAAACCTTTTCCCGAACCTACCCGAGGGCTTCTCATCGCTAGATCACGCACCGAGCCGAACAGGAGACAATGACAAGGCATCAGACTGCATGCGGGCATTGACCATAAAGCGGGCCCACCTTGAGGCCAGCGGCCTCGGAAACGCTCGTGCAACTAATGTTCACAGAAGCCCTCCCGGGGCACGGCCCGTCAAAATCTGATGGCGCTTGCTCGCCCCACTGCAACAGTTCCGGGGGCCATGACATTGGCGAGCGAACGATTCGACATGAACGCGGGCGTCTTGGATCCATGAGGCCCCATCTTGACAATGCTGGGCGGCTGCCGAGAAAAAGCGCACGTGCCTGCGAGCCCGCTGGAGCGAGGAAATGAGCCGCAGCCCAGACATCGCAGGATAAACGGATCAGCGTGCGTCTGCAGCTTGCCCAGGGACCTCTACACACACGCACCATGCGACTAACCAGAGAGATCTGAGCACGGTCACCCAGGTGGGCGACGGCCGCCAGGCCCCATTGTTCGGCGTCCAAACTGAGCCTGCTGGGCCACGAGCCGGCCTGCCCAGGCACCCTGAGCGGCCCCGCGCCCCTGACCCTCGCCCGGGCCTGGCACGGGGCGCCGAAGTGCATGCCCCGCGCGAGGCCCGCGCCCGGCCAGCCGCAGAGCTGGCGCGCGACCATTCGAGACGGCGAGGCCCCGCTCCGGCCCCCAGGTGATGACCCACTCGATGACCGGCGCGCCCTCCTTGCTCACGGCGTCCGCCAGCATGCCCGCGCCAGAGAGAACCTCCACGCAGATTGGGGGGGCCAAGAACCTGCGCCCCCATG